TCCCGCTGAGCAGGGAGCCCGATGCGCGGCTCGATGCGGGTTCGATGAGGGGCTCGATGCGGGGCTTGATCCCAGGACCCTGGGATGATAACCTGAGCCGAAGGCAGAGGCTTAACGACTGAACCACCCAGGCGCCCCTAGTCTTTTCATTTTTAAGTTACTTGGTGTTGAGTAGGCACATTCACCTTGGTATTTCTATCTTTGGGTATTTATATCTAACAGTTATGGACTAATAAAAAATTCCAATGTATTTAAAATTAGCTGGAGTACTCCAACATTCAAAGCAGTTCATCTGACCCTAAAATAATGAAAGCCACAAATCTAGAGATTTTCCTAAGTATCCCACATTAAATGAAAGTCACCTACTTCAAGTGACAAATGAAATAGGTTCATAATAGGTTTTTTCTGTAGGGGCTAATCGAGGTGATCTATAGTCAAAATTAAGTAGAAACCCATTTGGAAAATACCCTATGAGTATATGGTGGTTTGGGTATTATTTTGGTTTTTTTTTGAGGAATATAGCAGGTTTCAATCCAGCTATATGTTTTATTTATTTTTCATTATTTCATTATCTAAAGCTTCTTGGGCAGTTTGGCCAAGTTACGGAATCTTTTGGGGCATCAGTTTCTTGATCTGCATAATTGGCATAAGAATAATAACAATGCAGATGTGAGGATTAAGGGAGATGGAAGCTGGGGGGCCAGAGGCTAGAACATGGGCAGTAGGGGCACCAACACCTTACTTAGTTGCCTTCATCATTTTGTCAAGGTCCCCTCCTTTATCCTAAGAGAATCTATATTTATTCCCAGCTTGTCTTGCTCTTTTTTTCTTCTTAACTTTACAGAAAATTTTTCTTAATATGGTCTTCTTTGTGCATAACTCTGCTCTTTGTCCTGAAGGAATCTAAGGGGCAACGCCCCACCCAATCCTGGCTCTGTCAGACGCTGCTCATTGCCACCCAGCATCCCTTTTTCTTTAGTAACCCAGTTTAAAAACCATATTCCCGGGACGCCTGGGTGGCTCAGTCATTGGGCATCTGCCTTCGGCTCACGTCATGATCCCAGGGTCCTGGGATCAAGCCCCGCATAGAGCCCTGCATTGGGCTCCCTGCTCGGCGGGAGGCCTGCTTCTCCCTCTCCCACTCCCCCTGCTTGTGTTCCCTCTCTCACTGTGTCTCTGTCTGTCAAATAAATAAATAAAATCTTTAAAAAATAAAACAAAAAAACCCCCACATTCCCCCTTCTCCTTCACAGCTAGGTGTAACCACAAGAATAGACTCTACCCCTGAGGTAGAGGTAGAAATAATGTGAGCAATCTCTGGGAAGTCTCAAAAGAGAGAACACATCTTTTTCTTCCTATTCTTCCTTCCCACTGGGGGAACACAAATGAGATAGGTAGAGTCTGAGCAACCTTCTTGGACCAAGAGGGATACACTAAGGATGGCAGAAGAGCAGGATAGAAGGAACCAGGGTCCTTCACACAAGGACCTGCTCAAACAGCTCTGGACTGCCTACCTGGGGGCTTTTTTTTTTTTTTTTTTTAAACAGGCTCCATGCCCAGTGTGGGGCTTGAGCTCACAATTCTGAGATCAAGAGTCACATGCTCTACTGACTGAGCCAGCCAGGTGGCCCTAGGCTTTTTTTTCTAACATGAGAGAAACTTCTAACTTGTTTAAGCCACTATTATTTTGCTTTTCCATCATATATGGATGAACCCAAACTTACTAATATGCTGGTCCTCTAGGAAAATGTCTAGAACCAAGAAGCATTTTTAATTCTTGAAAGTTTTCCCTCCTTTGAGCCTGTGTGTCCCTTCTACTTAATAACAAATTCTCCCTCTCAGCAGAGAGCCTGCTTCTCTCTCCTCCCCACCTGTGTACTCTCTTTCACTGTCTCTCTCTCTCAAATAAATAAAATCTTTAAAAAAAAAATACTCTTCTATGAACTGGGGAACCAAAAGGAGGTTGAATATGCTGTAATAATGAACTTACTGGTTCTACAATTTTAGCAGAGCCTTAACTTTTGTTATCCTCAGATGTCTACTGGGAGTGCGCGGAATAACTG